TTTTTGTGTTTTCTCTTTTGGGCTTTCCTTCAAGGTTTTTAAAACACGTATAGTAGGGAGAGGTTTTTACACCCTTATAAAGAATGCTTTGTTCTCCTCTCTAACCGATGTGGGATCTCACAATCCACCCCCTTCAGGGCCGAACGTCCTCGTTGACACATGTTCCTCTCTCCAATTGATGTGGGATCTCACGATATTTTATTATAGCAAAAACTAAATATAATGTCTTACGCTATGACTAATAAATTATGCATTTCATGAGATTTATGGTATTCCTCTTCATCTACGAGAAATATATACCGATCATTGCTGTCAGATTTACAAATTGTTGCTCATTAGCACAGTTGGCATGGCTTGTAATACCTATTTTCTTCTTTTGTTTACAATATTACCCAGGTAAAAGCAAGGTTTGTTGCCTTTACCCCAACAAGAATGCAACTTCAAAAAGTGTTCAGGATGCCTTCAGCTCTGAACTCTCGACTAAGCAAGAACGCACGCAGCAAACGGTACATATTTGTCTGAAACAGTGTTGTGAATGTCCCTTTCTTGATTGAGTTTGATTTCATATTATCAATTGGTACTGATACAAATCAAGACATGGTAGAAGAAATTTTAACACACCAGAATTCACAAATCATTTCTCTAATTTGGTGCACTAGTTCACGTGCATGCATGGCTTATCATATTACTTACAACGGCCCAAGTCCACTGCTAGCAGATATTGTCATCTTTGGGATTTCCCTTTCGGGGTTCCTCTCAAGGTTCTTAAAACGCGTCTGCTAGGAAGAGGTTTCCACACCCTTATAACGAATGTTTCATTCTCCTCCCCAACCGATGTGGGATCTCACAATGCACTCCCTTCGAGGCCCAACGTCCTCACTGACACTCGTTCTCTTCTCCAATCAATGAGGGACCCCCCAATCCATCCCCCTTCGGGCCCAGCGTCCTTGCTGGCACACTACCTCGTGTCCACCCCTCTTGGGGCTCAGCCTCCTCGTTGGCACATCACCCGGTGTCTAACTTTAATACCATTTGTAACGGCCCAAGCGCACCGCTAGCCAATATTGTCCTTTTTGGACTTTTCCTTTCGGGCTTCCCCTCAAGGTTTTTAAAACATGTCTGCTAAGAAGAGGTTTCCACACCCTTATAAAGAACATTTCGTTCTCCTCCCCAACTGATGTGGGATCTCCCATTACTATTCTTGTGTGATCATTATGGCTGGGCTACCTATGATTCATCATTTATGGCAGACTTCTAGGCTCAGCTTTTCAATCCTTGCAGTTTCAAGTAATGTAACTTGGTATTCTGGCTGATGTTATGTTCTTTTTGGCTATGGTTTTCTTTTTGTAAAATCTCGTGTTCTTCCAGTTGAACAAGGTCATAATGTTCTTGTTGATTCTACTCATAGACTGATGGAGATGGAATTCTGAATTTTATTTTGATTGATGGTACATGGAGCAACTCTGCTGCAATGTTCAACCGACTCAGGGTAATGTTATGTAGCATTTTTGTATCTATATCTTCTTGTTGGATCTTTGCTGGGTTATTTCTGGAGAAAGCCAATGTTTTGCCTATAACAAAATGACTGACTAGTCCGATGATTGTTGCTATTACACAGGAGCAAGCCAAATCAGTTTGGGGGGAGGACCTTCCATGCATATCCTTGACTACTGGCTCGTCTGCAATGCATAAACTCAGGTAAGAACTCGAACCAGCAATCCATTATATTATCGAACACTTTTCGATTCTTTTCCATGGCGGGGTAGGTCATTTGAGGTGAAAGCATAATTCTTTTATAGAACATTAAACTCTTTTTACTATTCTACACACGGCCCATACGAATATGGACCTATCTAGGCCCCTTTTCTGGTCGGGCTAGCATTCTCTGGTGCTCTTGCTAGTCACCCAATAGGAATAGTGACCGTCGTAGTATTATGATAAACATAAGAATCATTTTCCTTTTCGTAATGTACGCGTCTATACCCATTGTAAATGGAGAAATTTCCCGATGCATGAGGTCCCCACCTTTCTTTTGTAAATGTGAAGGCCTCAACCATCATGGGACCGAACCTGCACAGCAGCAGCAGCAGCTAGCCTGCTGTTTGAACTTCAACTCATTCCAAGGTTAAGTTCGGTTGGATTGGAAAAACAGGGCGAAGCATTGGAAGATTCTCTGGAAGTATTGTTAGAAGCTCTTACTTCTCGACGCATTCGGATGGGGCGATCGATCACTCGTAAAGTTAGACATGCAACCAGCTTTTGCTAGTGTCAAGTATGATGTTCTTGAAACCCCTGAGGTGATTTCCTCTGCAACTTTGGCATTGAAGGCTATGCTGTTATAGTACCTCAAAATTTTCACTTACACATGCAGCCGAGTTTAAATCTGTTCCTTATAGTCTTAGGATTATATTAAAACATTGATCTTGTAACTTGTCGTTTGATTCTTACATTAATTCCTTAATAGTTCTAGTCTTAGGATTAATTTTGAATATCAGTGATTTCAATTTTCGTAAGAACAAACTTTTTTCTCCGATCCTTTTTTATACATATTTATTAATGTTTGTAGAGACTGTATTCTTTGCCCTCACTCGTTGCTATCTTTAAAAAAAAATTATCGTTTTTTTACCATTCAACCTAGTTGGAGCATTGAACCTTTAACTTTTTGAATTTGAACGTGTATGAAATAAGCTATGAATCTTTTTTTCTACTCGCAATATTCCGTTCATTCACTACAGCCCACAAGTTCAGGCAGATCAAATCCAACAAGATTGCAATTTAAGGTTGTATTGTTTGTAAATTTGTAAAAAAACAGCCTAATTTAAGGAAAAGACCTTTTTTTTTTTTCTTTTTGTCGTCCGAAATTCTCAATTTTCGGCAATAATTTTATTAAAATAATAAAAAGCTAAAAACTAAAACTAAAATTATTATTTTATCCTATTTTTAATGTACAAAATAAGAGACTTTTAACAACTTTTCCATCATCTATCCTTCCTTTCCACAAGAAAAATCACATTTAAAAATAAAAATAATAATAAAAAAAAAATAAAACAGACAAACAGAGTTGCCGGCGCGGTGGGTCCCGCCGTCGCATCCATGGCCGTCCCCCGGTGGAGCTCATCTGTGAGCCGTCACCAGAGTTTCAATAAATCTCAACCCATCAAATTTGGGAGCAAATTTATCCGCCGAAGACGAAGAATTCTCTCCTAATTCCTTTTCCTCCTGCAAATTAAACTCCCCAGATCTCAAAAACCGCGAAAAAGACCCGAAATTTACGAGTCAAATTCAACAAGATGGAATCTTTTAATCGACGATTTGTGTATCAAGGCTTACCTGACGAGGGAGCTGAATTTTTGGGTCGCAGAACAGAGTAGAGGAAGAAGGGGAAGCGGAGACGGCGGCGGAGGCGGCGGCGATGGAAGCGGCAATGAAACCAGATTTCTTCATCTTGCAAAAATGGAGGAAGCGTGGAAGAAGAAGAAGAAGAGGAAAAGAGAGCAATTTCGGTGAAGCAGCTACGGCGTATAAATTAAATAAACATATATTGTGGAGAGACGAATTTTTGTAATTCACAAATAATTGGCGCGGTATTGTCCGCCGGTTCGGTGTCGTTAAATTACCTTCTTACCCCCCCTCTTTTTCTTTTTTAAATTTAAATTTTGCTTTTACATCTTGTTATATGACGTAAATACCCCTTTTTTTTCTTTTTTAAATTTTATTTTATTTATATTAGATACGTAGGCAAAATTGAACTTTATCTATGAAAAAAATATTTTAAAATAAATAAATACTAAGTTAAATTAATAGACTTTAAAAAAATTTAATTATACCATTTTTTTAAAAAAAAATTAATTATAACATTTTAAAAAAAAATAAAAAATAATTATGAAAGTTATTTTTGAAACAAACTATTAATTATTTTCATAAAAAAAAAATTAATGTAAAAGCAATTTTTTTTTTTTTTTTTTTTTTTTTTATGTTGCAGTAACTATGGATAGTCTCGTTTGAGAAGGTTGGTTGAGATATCATAGAGATATTATCTGATTCATAAGGATACGAAAAAAGTAGTCTTGGAACAAANAAAAATTAAGGCCTCTGCGGCATACCGACGTTGATTCTTTTGAGGCGAGTGGTTGGGAGTTAGTCCTCTGGCCCTACTCTGATTGGTCAATTTTTCCTTACGTGTCCAATAAGGCTCCTCCACGTGTATGGTGTCGATTAGACCACGTAATGGTACCTCCTTCACTACCTACCCATCCCCATCATCCCCGCCTTAGATATTTAGAACACCACCGGTGGAGGAGGAGGAATTTCCGTCGTTCACACTGTGATTTGACAATTTTACCGAGTAATTTTGAAATTCAAATATTAGTATAATTATTTATTAATGTGATCTAAAGCGTATTTTATGGATCTAAATAAATCATTAAGCAACCTATCAAATTATCTAATTTTCTATAATTTTACTCAATATCATGTCATTTTTAAATTTATTAATGAATTTTTCTATTACAAAAAATAAAATTAATTTTCCCCACGAAATAATTCGTTGGTTAGTGGAAAAAAGTGATTTCGTAAGGGCAGTGATGTCAAAATGCCTTTTTTCGAGGGAATATTTAATAAAAATTAACAGCCACAAGAAACATAACACGTGTCCAAACCCCTGCATTGTCCACCACTATTTTTTTTTAATCCAATTCAACCCACATTAAATTGTGTTTATCTTCAAATTTAAATTTGAATAAATCGTATTAATTGTTTTAAAGTAAAATAAATTAAGGTGAGCGATTGAAACATTCTTTTAGAAAAAAAAATAGATTTTTTTCCCTCAAACTATACAAAAAAACAAAAAAAAAAACAAAAAAAAAAACAAAAAAAAAACAAATAATTTAGTGTACGATCAAAGTTTGAGAATATTTCAATTTGGATAAGTTCGAATAAAAAATCTTTATCTTGTCCCCATCGCTAAAGCTTGACCCGACCTTGATCTCGACCTCCTCAACTCCGACCTCTCATAGTCTTACACCATGTGGCACTAGTTGTCGCTCGATTATTAGGTCGGTGGTCAAATTATTTGTGTGAATATAAGTAGTTCCATGTAGCGGGTTGGCTCCAAATATCTGGCTTATCCACAACCTCATATCAGAAAAAACCAATGATCTTCCCATGCCAAGTCATTCAAAAGGATAAAACTATGGAAATTAAAACTAAGGCTAAATTAGACCATTTATTCCCCCTCAACCCCACGTTGATAATGGCTAAAATACATAGCATAACAAGGCAAGTTAAAGCTTTTAAGACCTTATTTTCAGGCTTTTACTGTCAATGAGACTCGATGGAGCCGATGGCACCAATGCTGAGGAGCCGCTGCACATACTTGCCAAGAACATCAACCTCCAAATTCACCAAATCCCCAACTTTCTTCAATGGAACCACCACAGCATTCTGAGTATAAGCAACCAACATGAAGTTAAAAGCCTTTTCCTCATCAAAAACATCCACCACAGTCAAGCTAGTTCCATCCACCGCAATGAATCCCTTTGCTACAATATAGTTCAGCACAGCCTCCGACGTCCTCACCTTTACCCACAACGAGTCCTCCTCAGCATCCATCGACACTATCTCCCCTGTCCCATCCACATGCCCCTGCACAAAATGCCCACCCATTCGGCTGATTGGTTGAACCGCCCGCTCCAAATTCACCGGAGAACCCGGCACCAGCTCCACCAACGATGTCTTCCTGAGCGTCTCCGGCGCTAACCCCACCTTGAATTCAGATAGTTGGTGGTCAAAAGCCGTCACCGTAAGGCAAGTTCCATTCACTGCAATACTGTCTCCAAGGTTAACGCCTTGAAGAACAGTTTTCGCTGTAATTTCCAAATCAAACCCCCCATTTTCAGCAATACCCAAGTTTTTTACACGCCCCATTTCTTCAACAATGCCGGTGAAAAGGCATTGGACGGAGATCCTCGGCCGAGATTTGCACGGAAATTGGGGCTTCTGACTGGAGGTGAATACAACGAACAGAGATCTTTTGGGATTGAATTTGAAATTAGGGCAGAATTGAGACGATGCGGGATGAACATTGGGAGTTGGGTTCCTCGCCGGAGAAGCCATTTTCGGGATGCTGGACAGTGCGGTCGCCGCCGAGAGCGAAGGAAAAGTTGCCATTTCCTCTGTTTCAACTACAGAGCCGAAAAATTAAACCCAAGAAAGATCAAAAACCCTAAAGCTCAAGCGAAATGGATCAGAAACCCAATAGAATTTGCAGAGGATCGAACGCGGAATAGAAAGAAGATGAACGTACTGCAACGGTGATATCGCCAGAGAAGGAATTTGTTAATAAATTGTTCATCGTTGAGGTTGAGGCGTGGATGGTTCCTGCTGCTGCAGACAGACGGCATGCTCTGTAACTTAGCTTTATTATTAGTTTTTTTAAAGAAAATTTAAAATTTTAAAAATTTAAAATTATAATGATATTAAAAATTGATTTTTCAATAATAATTAAAAATATATATCGTTATTTATAAACAAAAACCTTAATCATTAAAAAATTCAAACAATACCCATTAAACTTTTTTTAATAACCTTTCATTTTTTAAAATAATTAAAAAATATTTTCACTATATTAACATCAAATTTTAAAAATAGTATCAACACCATTTACCATTACCATTTGTACATTAATATATGAATGAAAACATTTATCAATACTCTATAAATAATCTACAAAATTTTTAATATTATTTTTAAAAGTTCACGAGCACTCAAGATAACAACTGTAAATATATTTTTAAATTTCTTAAAAAGTTAAAAAGGTATTAATGTATTAAAGGTTTCTCTTATTCTTTAATTTGTTTAATTTAATAATATTTTTATTAATTTAAAGATAAAGATTTTTTTTAAAAAACAAAAATAAATAAATAGAGATCTCAAATAAAACAAATCTAAATTATATTGGAAAATTAATACGGCATGTTCCATGACAATAATATTTAATAATGTGAGAGGCGGGGTGGCCTTAATTCCGGAGTTTTTTTTTTTTTTTTTTAATTATTATTTTTTCTTATCATTTTCATTTTTTAATTAAAATATTTTGTAAACTAATTAAAATAAATGAAAAACGCAGCTTAAAATAAAATAAAATAAATATAAAAAATCCATTTATATTTAAGAACATTCAAATTTGTGTTACTTTTACTCTTAAATTAATATTTATATTAATTAAAATTCTAAATTTTGATGAGTTAATTAATTTATACCCATGTTGTAATTTGTTTTAAAACACTAATGTATAACTTTTACGTATAAATAAAACTTGGTTACCTCTCTTAGTGAGAGGTAGAATTATTAATGTAATTATTATTACATTAAACACGGTAATAATATAATGTATATTAAACTCTATGCATATGGTAGCACATGACACTTAAATAATAATTGAATGACTTCATTATACGTCAACTTATTAAATTCGATATTTAGCATCACAATTACTTTAAAATTGTGTATAGTGTTCATAGTGAGTTATATATATGATGGCTATACGGAGGAGGAGCGACAAATAAACAAATTGTTCATAGAGCCTCTCCTAAGACCTCATTTTCTAGGCACTCGAACAAAATACATAATTTATTTAATATTCAAAGAAACTATTGATATAACTAAGTTAAAGACATGAATTTGAGGATTATATTGACATAACTTAGTAAGATTGACATATTGAATGTAATTTTATATCCCACAAAATTTTTAATATATTCTTATATTTAATATTATTTTGCCAGCCTGTACAGACAAGTCATATGGTTGTCCACGTCAAAGTCCCAAAAGCTACGCGTCCGCCTCCCCCGCCCTTTCTATTCTTCAATTACTACACTTTGATTTGAATTTTGACAATCATGACCGCCACGTCATATTACGCTTCGAATAAAATATTAATTCTTTTCTTCTCTTCCATCCCTTCTATAAAGTAAAACATTTAATATTAATTGATTTTCATAATAATAATAATAATAATAATAAATTATGTCGCATTAAAATTATTGGTTATTATTACTATTTAATAAATATATGGTCGTGGCCAACTAATTTACTAATTTGTATAGGCGAATGAATAAAATAGTTTTTCTTCAGAAAACTTGAATCTCTCTGAGAGAACGTTTGAAATATCTTGCACCCCTTAAACCTATCTTGATAATGAGAACGATATACGTGTTGGATGATGAAAGTCCCACATCGGCTAATTTAGGGAATGATCATGGGTTTATAAGTGAGGAATACTAACTCCATTGGTATGAGGCCTTTTGGGAATCCCAAAGCAAAGCCATGAGAGCTTATGCTCAAAGTGGACAATATCATACCATTGTGGAGAGTCGTGTTCGTCTAACATGGTATCAGAGCCATGCCCTAAACTTGGTCGTGTCAATAGATTGGCAAATCCTTAAATGTTACAGCATGTCAATAATTAAAGACGTAAAAACTCAACTGGATAGACCGAGATCTAACTTCACATACCCTAGTTTTTATTTTATTTTTTGAAATAGTAAATTATAAATTATAATATTTCCACGATGGATCGTGGTGGGTCCCCCCATAATATTACTTAATCACTAAGGTGTATTTTGGAAAATGAAATTCAAAGCAAGCGGGTCGTTTAGTCAACTTCCCCTCACAGAAAACAGGCTTCTTTCCCAACATCCCGACACACGTGGCCAATGCTGATTGGACAGATGGAATCTTTTTTTTTTTTAAAAAAAAATGTAAAAATACATATTATTTTAATTCCAAGGCTTTGAATTCGCTCCACATACTTTTGAATTTTAGGATTCCCAAAACTTTACTTTTAATTTAAATCAAATAATTTCCACTAAATTCTGAATTACATCCTACCATAATACTAATAATAAATCTCAAATTATATTCTTTATATAATTTAATATTCAATTTTTAAAAGTATTATTAATATTTTTAAATTAAAAAGAATAGCTATAAACTTTTTTAATAAATAAAATATATTAATAAACTTTTCAAATAAATAAAATATATTAATAAACTTTTCAAAGTAACATTACAACATTTTATAGATAAGTCGATAGACGGTTTTCGTCTATATATTGACGATATGAATGGTACATTTTTTTTAATAAAGGTAAATGATGTTAATGCTAATTTTAAAATTATTTCTAAAATGCCATTAAAAGGTTCCAGAGTATTTTTTATATAAATAATAATGGTTTCATCTAAATTTGAGAACGAACTATTTTTTAATTTTTGTTAAGTTTAAAAATATTATTATTTTTTAAAAGTTTAAAGATATTTTTATTAATTAAGTCTCTAAAAATAAATAAATTATTTATACGATTTATTTAAGATTAAAAAATATGATCTGTTTACAAGGATTCACATTCCGTCAATATATTTTAATTCAACTTTAATTAGTAACTTTACAATTATGGATTAAAAAGAAAAAGATTAAAACATTAATTAACTGTTTTCCAAAATTTGGAACTAAAAATACTGATTTTAAGATATTTTGAATTTCACGCCATAGGAAAATCACACGAAACGACTGGATGAGATGAACAAAACGGCAACGCGTCGAGCAGGAGTCTTCTTCTTCGGCCTCCATTTCTGAATGCGAGAGGTTGTCTTGTCTTCGGATCTTCAACCTTTATCTCTCTACTGTTAAAGATTTCTCTCTCTTCTCTTGGTCGGAATCTGAAGCTGTTTAGAAGCATATTGTAGTTGTTTCTATTGAATCTAACCTTGATTTTGATGTCATGAGTACTCGCCAGCGCCCTCAGCCGCCGCCTGATGAAAATGAACCCTACAACATAATCCCCATCCACAATCTCCTTGCTGATCATCCTTCACTTCGTTTTCCGGAGGTACGCGCCGCCACTGCTGCCTTGAGGGCGGTTGGTAGCCTCCGGAAGCCGCCGTATGTTCAATGGCTTCCTCACTTGGATATCCTCGATTGGCTTGCGCTTTTCTTTGGGTTTCAGAAGGATAACGTTCGGAATCAACGGGAGCATCTTGTGCTTCATTTGGCCAATGCTCAGATGCGCTTAACCCCTCCTCCTGATAATATTGACACTCTTGACGCCGCCGTTTTACGGCGCTTTAGGAAGAAGCTGTTGAAGAATTACACCAGTTGGTGCTCGTACCTGGGGAAGAAGTCCAACATTTGGATCTCGGATCGTCGTGAGGCGGATCAGCGCCGCGAATTGCTGTATGTTTCGTTGTACTTGCTCATATGGGGTGAGTCTGCAAATTTACGCTTTGCTCCTGAATGTATTTGTTATATCTTCCATCACATGGCCATGGAAATGAATAAGATTTTGGAGGATTATATAGATGAAAATACTGGTCAGCCGATATTGCCCACTTTTTCGGGCGAAAATGCTTTCCTAAATTGTGTTGTTAAACCCATTTACGAGACCATAAAAGCTGAGGTTGAGAGTAGCAAAAATGGTACTGCCCCGCATCGAATTTGGAGGAACTATGACGATATTAACGAGTATTTTTGGAGTAAGAGGTGCTTTGAGAAACTCAAATGGCCCATTGATGTGGGTAGTAACTTTTTTGTGACTTCTAGCAGGGGTAGGCATGTGGGCAAGACTGGATTTGTAGAGCAAAGATCTTTCTGGAATTTGTTTCGAAGTTTTGATAGTCTATGGGTCATGTTGATTCTATTTCTTCAGGCCGCCATTATTGTTGCATGGGATGGTAGGCAGCCCTGGTTTTCGTTGAGGGAGCGAGATGTCCAAATTAAGCTTTTGAGTGTGTTTTTCACTTGGAGTGGCTTGAGGTTTCTGAAGACATTGCTTGATGCAGCGATGCAGTATAGTTTGGTTTCAAGGGAAACTTTGGGACTTGGAGTGAGATTGGTAATGAAATCCATTGTTGCTGCAGCATGGACCATCTTGTTCGTAGTTTTTTATGTGAGGATTTGGACGCAGAGGAACCGAGATAGAATTTGGTCTGCTCAGGCTAACAAGGACGTTAGCAATTTTCTTATTGCAGGCGGTGTGTTTATTGTTCCAGAGGTTCTGGCGTTGGCTCTTTTTATCCTTCCATGGATTAGGAATTTCATGGAAGAGACCAACTGGAGGATCTTTTATATGTTATCGTGGTGGTTTCAGAGCAGGACTTTCGTTGGCCGTGGGTTGAGGGAAGGCCTGGTGGACAATATCAAGTACAGCTTGTTCTGGATTCTGGTGCTTGCTACAAAATTCAGCTTTAGTTATTTTCTGCAGATCAAACCCATGATTGCCCCAACAAAATCACTGTTGCAATTGAGGGACGTCACCTACGAGTGGCATCAGTTCTTTACGAGGAGTAACAGATTTGCGGTCATATTACTTTGGCTTCCTGTTGTCTTGATCTACCTC